TTGACCCCTCAGATGTCAAAACTGACTCCAAAGGAAGCTGAAGCAACCTGGGTGAGGCAACTTGTGGTGGTCTTGTGTTAACCTGGGGGGAGGGGACAGGTCTTGCTTCAGCTCTGCTGCTTTGGGGAAGCTTCTGGAAGGTTCCTTCCCGGAGCAGGGCGATTTCAGGGCTTTGACTCAGCCTTGGGAAATCACAACTGTTCCTTTTCCTCCCCCTGAAGATGTTTGGAAATCAGGCTCTGAGAGTGCCTGGGCGGCTGCTCAGCAGCTCTGGTGGTGGTTCCAGCCTGAATTTCTCTCTGGAAAGCAGCTGATTAATGACAGATGAACCTTCCCGGGGCAAATTGGGATGTTCTGAGGGAGGAGTTGGGGTTGTTCTGGGCTCTTGTCCCCGCAAAACCCGGTGGCTGGACCTTATTGCTGGATGCAGCCCCAAAACTTAACATGTCCACCCCCATATGGAGCAAAACTGCCCTAAAAAGGGTGTTCCTCCAAAAAAGAGTGTTTATCCACCCCCACCCATCCTTCCAGCTCCTGCCCACCACCATAGCTTGCTCCAAGGAGAGCTGTGGAGTGTTTTCAGGCCTAAATGGGGTTGTTTTCTAGCTGAAAATGTGTCTTCTGTGACCCCGGGACATGTTGTGATACCTGGAGCATCCTGAGCACCTACTGGAGGGAACCCTGAACTTCCCACACATCCACCTCCCCTGAGCCTGTCTCCAAGGATTTTCCCCCCCTGGATTTGTGGGGTTTAAGGAGAGAGGAAAGTGCAGGACTCGCCTGGAGGAAAACCCACACAGACACAGCAGAGCTTTGGCAGCCTCAGGGCAAATCTTTATTTGGAAGCAAACCCACCACACTTTGCAGAAGGGGAGGAGGGAGGTGGGCAGAGAGGGGTGGTCCGAGGTTGGGTTTGATCTTGGAGCCTTTCCCAGCCTGAAATTTTCCATGGGGGGGGGAGGAAACCAGGGGCTGCAGCGTGGCTGAGGGGCCAAGCCCAGCTCAGTGGTGGTGCTGGTGGTGGTGGTGCTGGTGCTGCTGGTCCTCCACCTCGTGCAGGTGCTCGTGGGTGGCACTGGTGACACGGAGGACGAGCAGCATCGTCTCGCAGAAGCTGATCTGGGAGTCCTTGTTGATGTCCAGGTCCTTGAAGATCTCATCAATGGTGGCCTTGTTCTTCACGTGCTGCAGAGGAGGAGGGGACAGGGTGAGGGGGAGCATCGCTCACAGCTCAGACCTCTCCTTGGGCGAAAAAACCCTTCGCTCAACACTAGAAAAGGGAGTCGCAAAAATAGTGGGATTTGGGGGTGGTGTTTCTGAGCCCATTTCCAGATGGCAAAGGAGCTCATGGGCAGCCTAACCCTGATTTTTGTGGAGGAGGGGATGAGGGTCAATACCCGGCTGCAGGTTCACCCAGACCTGGGTGAGATTCCTTCCTCTGTCTTTATGGAGCAGGTTTGCAGAGGGCTGGTTGGACAGGGAGGGTTGGGCAGGAGATATCCAGGTTAGGGGGGTCCAGCCCAGCTCCCTCCCCATGTGGACCCTGCTCTGGGCCCACTCACCTTCAGGTAGTTGGCAAGCTGCTTCTCAATGAGGAGCTTCAGCTCCTTCTTGGTCAGGGTGTCCCTGTCCCCCTCCCGCCTGGAGTACTGGTGGAAGACATCAATGATGACATCCATGGCCTTCTCCAGCTCGGAGAGCTGCTCCTGGCTCTGGGAGCTCTGGAAGAGAAAGGGTTGCACCAAATAACAACAGGAGCCACAATGGGTGTGGAAATCTGCCGTAACCAGGGCGGTGAGGACACGGCCAGGGGGGTTTTCCCTCAAAATGTGCCTCCTTTCTGGCACTACTGGAGCTCCCAAACCAGCTGGTAGCACCCCAAAAACCTCTGGAGAGATACAGAGCACAAGATCTAATGTCCTGGAGCCCCTTTGGTGGTCAGAACGTGCCAGGGGGAACCTCCTCCAGGAGAAAACATCCCTCCCTGTGGGATGAGCCTGAGTGGAGCTGGTTGTGCTCTGCCAGCAACTGATGGCAGGTCATGATGAGATGCTCCCTGAGGGTCTTCACACCTCTGGTGGCCCAACCAGCACCTGGAAAAGAGACCTTAAATGCACATTGGACTTGCCTTGCTCATCTTGGCAGCGGAGTGAGATCCCCTGGGGCTGGTGTGGGGCAGTTCCCAAGTGAGGGGTCTCTTATACCCTGGCCGTGAAAGGTTGTGAAATGTCCCTGTTTCATCCAGTTCCAGTCCATGCTCATGACACACTGGGCATTGCTCAAGGCTCGGGGGCAGTTCCTTAAAAAGGGTCTCTGTGGCTTTTCCCGCGAGGTCGGGGTGTCACGGACTCCACTGGGGTGGCAGGGGGTGGGCAGGGCATGGAAATGTCCCTTCAGGTGGGTCCCCTTCACCTGGTTGAGGTTTGAGCTGTGAACTTTGCCCTCACCCTGTTCCCTCCTTCCCAGCATGTGGGAAATGAGGAAATGTGGGAAAATTGTGATCAGTTCTCCACCAACTCTTGCCAAAAGTCAGTTCCCTTGGCATTCTTCCACTTCACCTGGTTTTGCGCATTCATAGGGGTGTCTTCTGGTGCCACAGGGCACCCACACCATCATTCCTGCCCTTCTCCAGTGAGTGTCCCCATCCCTGCAGAGCTGGGGCACCCCGAAGGGTCCCAGTGCCTCATTACGTTGGAAAAGCCCCCCAAGATCATCAGATCCAACCTTTGACCCATCTGTCTCCACCCAGACCAGCGAGTGCCACAAGCACAGGCCTGGCAGCAGTGCCAGGGCTGCCCGTGTGACACGGGCACAGAGGTGGCACTGAGGGACCATCCCCTGCCTGCAGCAAATGTCTTTCCGTGACAAACACATAATCCAGGGCGTGTGCCCGGCCTGGCAGGGCTCCAGGAGCTCCATTTCACCCCCAGGGGTGGATTGTCCCCACCCCAGGTGTGCTCTGAGCTGCACAGACCAGGTCTGGCTGAAAGGTGTTTATTTTTTTTTGCACTTTTTGGGACTCTTTCCTCACTCTGTGGCTTCTGTTGTTGTTGTCTCTCAGCGTGGTACAGACCCAGCGCAGGCGCTTTGGCTTCGGAGCTGCCAAGTTTGGGAGCAAAACGAGACTTTCCAGTGTTTCTTCATCAAAAAGCGCTGCCTGCTGACTCAGCAGACTTGTTTTGGGGTTTGTTTAACCTGCCAAGCATTGTGTTGGTCTCAGACACAAAGTGGAGGCCAAAACAGGGCCATGGACAGGCCTGGGGTGAGCTCCAGGAGCTCCAGAGGAGCTGATGTGGGGCAGCACCGTGCAGGGAGCTGCTCAGAGGTGCAGCCTTGGTCTACAAACTGCTTTTCAGGGAGAATTTCTCACCTGGGTGGTGAGGCTTGGAAGGGTCTGCCCAGGGAGGTGGGGGAGTCCCCAGCCCTGGAAGTGTCCAAGGAATGACTGGCTGTGGCACTGAGTGCTCTGGGAGATGGTCAAAGGTTGGACTTGATGACCTTGGAGGGCTTTTCCATCCTCAGTGATTCTGGGAATGATTCTGTGATACAATAGCCCCCCCGGGCTCCAGCCCTCACTAGGGGTGCTCTGCATTTCACAACAGGGGTGTTCTGATGCTCAGAAGTTCTGGAGAAGGTCTGGGCTGTTTCACAACAGGGTGTCTGGGACCATCCCCGGCGTTGCAGAATTTTGTAGCAATATCAGGAAACCCCCCTTTTGGTCACTTTATCACCCTGGAGGTGGGGAAAAACAAGGGTGTGGGAGGGGTTTCCAAGGTGGGATAGTGTCTGGATCCTTGGATGTGCCCACAGGCAAGAGGAATGAGCCACTGGCTGTTTGGTTGTGACCGGGGAGCCTGGGCAGTGCTGAGGGTCCCAGGAACGTGTCCTGGCACAACTTTCTGCTGGCTCTGCAGCCCCCCTTGCACAGGACTTGCACAGCCCCCTGTCCACCTACAACCCCGTCCCCAAGGCCAGCAGGGTTGGGCAAGGATCTGCTCACTGGAGCTGGGAGGGCCTGGGGAACTCAGGATGTGTTTCCAGGTGCCCAGGGTTGGTTGTGCCCCGAGGAGCTGAGCCCTGGCAGGGCACCCCGAGCTTGGCAAGGGTTGCAAAACTCTTTCAAAACACACTTTTAAGGGCTGATGTGGGCGGAGGGAAGAGCAGGGCTTGTCACCCCCTGGGTTATCCCCCAGGACCAGTGCCCACCCTCCCCCCACCCGTGGGATGCAGAAGGAATTGCCAGCATGGGAAGGACTCGGTGGATTTCAAGTGATGCTTTATTGTCTCACAGGCGTGAGGGATCCCAGCAGGCAGAGAGCACCCAGAGCCCCGTTCCTAAAGCAGCCTGTTCCCGGTGTTCCATGGTGGGGAGCTGAGGCTCAGTCCTGGTCGGGCCCGCAGCGGTCGGAGCCGTGGCTGATGCGATGGGCGTCGTCAGCCACCTTGGCCAGGACGATGCTGAACTCCTCGAAGGACAGCTCCTTGTCCTTGTTGAGGTCGGTCTCCTTGAAGATCTTGTCCAAGTAACCACGTTGGTTCCTGCCCTGGAATTGGAGGACAGGAGAGGTTTTAGTGCATTCCCTCCCCTGGCTCCGAATCCACCAGTGGAGACAGAGCCAGCTGGGTCCCTCCATGCCCGGGGATGTGTCTGGATCTGCAGGACATCATGACCCTCTCCTACAGTGCAATTAGCCCCTAATTAAGCCCTAAATGGAGACTTGTCCTGAGTCCCTCTGGCTGGAGGAGAGAGCTCAGGTGGCCCCACAAGTCTGACCACAGTGAACCATGACCATGGTGGGACCTGCTCCCCATTCCCTCAGAGCAACCTCAGCCTCGTCCCCCAGCACATCCCGAGGGAATGCTCCCCCAGGGAGCCCCTCTGGCACTCACACAGGCCTGCAGGAAGGTGGGGGCCTGCTCGGTGATCAGCGTTTTGAAGTCATTGGCGCTGAGGAGGTCGAGCTCTCCCTGCCGGACGCTGTAACGGTGATAAACGTCCACGATGGTGTTCAGGGTCCTCTCCAGGGTGCAATTCCCAGGGAACTGCCGGCTCTCGGCGTGGCTGTGGGTGCTGGCAGACATGGCTGAGCTCGGGAGGTACCTGCAGAAACTGGGAAACACCTCAAAACTGTGAAATGGGCCCAGAATCAGGCACCTCAGGGAGGGGGAGCTGCCCCTGCCCGGCCCTGGAGGCTGTGTTCTATTTTATATGTAATGCCAAAATATATATTGTGTTATTTCTATATATAATATTAATTAATTAATTAATTAATTAATTAATTTCTATATATAGTATATAATACATTATATATATAATATATGTTATAATATATTATGTTATGTTATATATAATGCCAAATTATACCTATATTATGTTATTTTAATATATATAATATATAACAATATATAATATATATTATCATATATATATTGTAATAAAAAACATGCATTATATATTATATATATTCCATATAATGCCAGAATTTATCCTTGTTTTTCAGCCCAAACCAGCCTCCTCCCCTGCCCTGAGCAGAAACCACCCCCCTGAACTGAGGCCACGTCCAGAACTGCGTCTCCCTCCCCGTGTCCCTTGGAGGTCCCACTCACCCTGGTCTCGAGGAGGGTGTGCAGAGAGCGAGTCCCTTCTGTGCTCCCGGAGCGCGGGCAGCCCTTTTATCCCCGGCCAAGGGGTGGTTTCACCACAGCTGGTGACACACCTGCCACAAGCAGCGGCTTGAGTTCGCCTTTCCCGCTCCTGGAAATTGCCGGGTGGGCCCTTCCCGAGCCCCTCCCGGCTCGTTCCTCCTCAGGCAGTTCCTGGTTGCACCCACCGGGCTTTGGAAACGCCGTCCTTGCCCCGGCTGTCACCTCTGCCAGGCCCCACGTGCAGCAGGAGGGGACCCACGCCAGGTGTGTGGTCACACCTGGGTGGGAAGGGCAAGGCCACCTTGGCACAATTTGCTAAAACTGGGCAAGTTTTGCAATGCACCAAAAATTCACACGTTTTCAGACTGGTGGGGGAGAAAGTCGGGCTGTTTTGCACAGAAATGGGGGTGACTTTGTCCCCTGGTTCTATTTTTCATGTTTTTCTGTTTTTCTCTGCTTTCTACAACCCCAACTGGTTGGACTCTCCCCAGCACAAAGCATCATCTGCCTTTCAAAACTGGTTTTCCAGAGTATTTTCCATTCCTTTCTATCTTCACGTCACCCACACCAGACTTTTCCTCTCGCTCCAGGAATTTTCTGGAGGAAACCAGGCATAAAACCAGAAGAAAAGCCGAGCTCAGGGTCTCCACAGACTGGTGGATGAGCCACCAAATGTTTTGCAACTGTCACCTCTGTGTCACCCGTCCAGAAGAATGAGGAGACTCTCAGAAGATTTAAACCAAGACAATAGATACCAGGAAGAGGAGAGGACCAGCAGAACAAGAGGGTAACCAGTCCTGTTTGAGGATGCTCCTCGTGTGGCCCGGGGGCAGTGGCAGGAACTGTTGCATGAGTTTTATTCCCGTATCCCTGACTCACATTATTGCTCTTTTTGTGTTCCAGCTCCACTCATTAGGGACTGTCAGCAGTCCCAAATTGCATCCTCATTCCTCAGCTGACAGGGAAAGCCTTGGGCAAGGTTTGGAGGCTTGTGTAGCCCCCACATGTGACATCTGGGCCCTGAATTCCTGTTTTTCCTCCTTTTTGTTCCCCAAAACCTGGGGGAGGGGCAGCTCACGGTGCCCAGGCCTGCAAGGGGAGTGATGCCCAAGTGCCACCAGGGTGCCCTGGCAGGACAGTGAGTGGCATCTGCCTCCAGGGGACAAAGGCTGCTCCCCAAATCCCTCGTGGAGCCTGACAGCAGTGATCTATGTCACGGGGTGCAAGTCCCCTCACAATGGTTGGGTTTCACATGGGATGGGCTCCTGGTTTCGGCTGATAGTGGAAATGTCAGAGCCTCCTGAGCCTGAGGGTTTCCCCCTCAGTGCACAGTCACCAGCACAGTCAGGAGTTCTTTGTCACTCCTGTTTCTGCCCCCCAGGAGCCCACGGTGACCTTTAGAAGTGCCAGGACTCGGGGGGCTGTCATCCCACCCTGTAAAACCCCCGAGTTTCATTGTGCAGAGTCACCGCTGCGTGTGACCAGGGCAGCACCTCCGAGCAGCTCCCACCACGGAGCTGCCCCACGTCAGCCTCCTGGAGCTCCTGGAGCCCCTCGGCCTCGTTCTCTGCTGGGCTGGGGCCAGCTGGTTGCTTTGGGGGTTGCAAAAGCATCACAGGCACCCCCAGGATGTGGCACCTCCAACTCCAGGGCTGGGGCTCAGCAGAGACCTGGGGAAGGACCCCCCCTTCCTCCTGTGCTTCACCCCTGGCACGTCCTGGAGCTGGTCCAAAGAGGGACTGGGAGAAGAAGGGCTGGGGATGTTCCCCACCTCTGTTACCCCCCTGGCACATCCTGGAGCTGGTCCAAAGGGGATTTGGGAGAAGCAGGGCTGGGGATGTTCCTGTGCTTCACCCCTGGAGATGATCCAAAAAGGGATTGGGAGAAGAAGGGCTAGGAATGCTCTGGTGCTTCCCCCCTGTTGTGTCCTGGAGCTGATCCAAAGAGGACTGGGAGAAGCAGGGCTGGGAGTGCTCCAGCTGCTCCTACCGAGGACACACTCACTGTCTGCTGAGGTAGAGGATGCTGGGACCAACCACCCACTGAGCAGTGGGAGCACACTGGGATCTGACCCCCTTCAGGAGCCCACACAGCCTGTTTTGCTTGGTGGGGACTCCCCACTCTGCCCAGAGCAAGATCCCCCTGTGCCACCTTCCCCTCCCGTTGCTCCTCCAGCTCAATCTGTGTTTAACCCCCCCCAGCCATGGGTTGGGTGAGAATCTGGAATCCCACCCACCCCCAGAGCCCCCAGAACATGTAACAAGAAGCATTTGGTGCTCGAAGTAAAGGATTTTATTTCAGTGCCACAGGCCAAAGCAGCTGACAAGGCTTTGGTTCCAGGGAAGGGATGCTGGTGCTGGGAAAGCAAAGCCCCATGGGCACAGACACCCCGGGAGACGCTTCAGTTCCGGGGACGGCGGCCGTGGTCATGCCCATGGTCGTGCCCGTGGTCATGGCTGTGCCCGTGGTCATGGCCATGGTCATGGTCCCCACCAGGGCCCCTGTGGGACCTGTCATGGGCATTGATGACTGCCAGGCTGAGTATGGTCATGAACTCAGTGAACTTGAGGCGCCCATCATGGTTCCCGTCGGCTTTGGTGAAGAGCTGGTTGATGTAGTCGTCGGTGCTTGTGTTGGGCTGCAGCAGGACAGACAGAACAGGGCTCAGGCTCACCCTGCCAGCCCTCGGCTGGGAGGACTGAACCCCAGAAAAACCCTTCTTCCCTTTGGGAAGCCCCAGCCCCAAGGAGGGCACCATTCCCACAACGCTCGGCTCTTCCATCCCTGGAAGAGCCCAAGGCCAGGTTGGAGCAACCTGGTCTAGCAGGAGGTGTCCCCATGGCAGGGGGTGGAATGGGGTGATCTTTGAGGTCCCTTCCCACCCACCCACTCCATGATTCCATGACCTTACCGGCTTGGTGTCGTTCAGGAAGGGCTTGGCTGTCTCCTTCAGCAGCTTAGAGAACTCGGTCTTGCTCAGGTAGTCGTCGATGGGGCGGTTCAGCACGGCATACTGGTGGTAGACGTTCACAGCACACTCCAGGGCCAGCTCCAGGTCGGTTTTCATCCTGCTGGGAAGGGACACACAGCAAAACATGAAAGCGGGTCGGAGGAGGAGGACTGGCCTCTCTCCTGGCCCGTCTCGGTGGCACTTCCAGCACCACAAAGGCACCCTTTGGAAGAACCTACTCACCTTGGAGGAGTTCTGGGCTCTGCAGATGGTGCACAGGAGGAGCAGAGAGAGCAGGAGCAAGTGATGCTGCAGAGGAGACGACGCCTCTTTTATACTCTCCCTGAGCTATGATTTGTGACACCCTCAAATCTCCTCCGGGGCAGCAACCCTGGGAATTGTGCAAGGCTGCTCAGCACACCCAGGTGGTGACTTCTCAGCTCCAGGAACTGGCTGCTCTCCCTGTTAACGAGGGAGGGGACGCCCCAAACTCATCAGGACAAAACAAGGAAACACCAAAACTGACATTTGTGAGGAGCCGTCACCGGGGGTCAGTGATGATGCAGCGTTGGGACATTCCCACAGAGTTTGGGGGTCTGTGGAGATGATATGAGACAAATTTGTCTGGATCACACTTGTGAGGGTCTCCAGTGGGATAACACTGGGCTTACCCAATGGGGGATGAGGTTCATCATTGCATTTGCCCCATCATTGTTGAGTCTGGATGGAGGTTTGGTGGCCCCTCTCAATGTGCTGCTGGTGTTGGCCAACACATCCCCCCCCATCCACCTCTCCAAACTCATGAGAGCATTCCCCCTGCATCACTTGTCCATAGGTTTCCATGGAGTCAATCCTGGGTACAAATCCAGGCATGCCAGTGTGTGGGAAACCTTCCAGCTGGTCTGAGGAGGTGGCACTTCCCAGCAGCTCTAATTGCTGCCCGATGACAATCAAGGGCATTGGCAAACCCTCCCAACTCCCAGCTGTGCCCCTTGGTGTTGGGGGAATGCTGCCACATGTGGGAGACCCCCTGGTGTTCCCACTGCCCAACCCTGCGTGCCTTGAGAGGGCTGGTGGGGAGCCCCTCATCCCAAATCCAGCCCCTGGCTGCCCTGGAGGCTTTTGGGGAACGGGAAGGACAGTGGTGGTGAAACATCTCCCTGTCAGCCTCTTAATCCCGGAATCAGCACCAGAAGAATCCTCAGTTGCAAAAGAGGGAAACAAAGGGACAGGTTTTCTGATGGAGACGGGCCAGGAAGGGGACCCACATGCCCCATCCCCACCTTGGCCCCAGCCCAGAGCACTCAGTGCCACATCCAGTCCTTCCTTGGGCACCTCCAGGGCTGGGACTCCCCCACCTCCCTGGGCAGCCCCTGCCAAGGCCTGACCACCCTTTCCAGGAGGAAATTCCTCCTCATGGCCAACCTGACCCTCCCCTGGCACAGCTTGAGGCCGTTTCTCCTCCTCCTGTCCCTTGTTCCCTGGGAGCAGAGCCCGACCCCCCCCCGGCTCCCCCCTCCTGTCAGGGAATTCCAGAGCCAGAAGGTCCCCCCTGAGCCTCCTTTTCTCTAGGATGAGACCCCCCCAGGTCTACACTTTGTGGTGGTTCCTGGCCACCCCCACACACAACCCCGGGGGCATCCAAGGAGGGGGCAAAGCCTGGGTTGGACAAACCAAAGCCTTTGTGGCATCTCCAGTGCTTCTGTCACAGCCTGAGGTGACCCATGAAGGCTCCCAGCAGGGTGGAGGAGGGGACACCCACATCTGGAAAGGGTAAGTTGCACATCTGGAGCCCAGCACACAAGCCCAGATGGCCAAAGTTCTTCACTGGGGGGAAAACGGGATCAAGGGGAGGAAAGGAGATGTAAAACCATGAGCAGGACGAGCTCAGAGCGGGGCTGGGGCTGCTCCCACAGTTTATAGCCCTGGGCTGAGTGTGCCCTGTGGCAGCCCAGGAGAGCCCAGGGGTGCACAGGGAAATGGCTCCACAACCCCACCCCGAGCAGGAACGCGGCTGAAACCCCGCTCAGGATTTACTGGGGAGGGGAAGGGACGAGGGTCCTGCGTGAGAGCCCAGTGCGGCGGGTCCTGCCCCGCGGGGGGGGGGGGGGGGGGTGTCAGACGCTGACTCTGCCTGAGCTTCGCAGTTACGGCTAAAAAAGAGTCGTTCAGCCTTTGTTGCCGCTCCCGGAGCCGCTAATCCCTGGGAAACCTCCCGCCTCGCTCTGTGCGGCCGCGAACAGCTCTCGGGGTTGCGGAGCGTTCAGAGCCCGTCGCTGACTCATCCCGGGCGGCTGCCAGGGCTCGGCTCGCGGGCGGTTCCCGAGGGCTCAGGGAACGCGGTGTCCACACCAAGGCAGAGCAGAATCCACTCTGGGACCTCCCTTGTTCCCGCTCCTCACCCCGTCCGTGCAACCCGCCCGCGGGAGGGAATCGGGGTCTCGCCCACGGCCACAACACCCCATCCCTGGGGCACGAGACCCCCGTGGCAAAGGGAGCAGGGACTTGGTTGAAATCGATATTTATTGAAATGGCATCAGGAGGACAGGGGGAGGGTCCGGGGAAGGTGCTCCCCGCTCATTTCCTGCGCGGCATCTTGTCCGGGAGGTCCTGGAAGAAGTCGTTGCACATCATGGCCATGCAGGCCAGGAAGGTCACGTACTCCTGGAAGTCCACCTCGCTGTCACTGTTGCAGTCTAGGTTGCTCATGAGCTGCTGTAAACTGGCCTCGCTGGTTTGTTTCTGCCCAGGAGAAAAATGGGGTTAAAATCGGGGTTCGCATCCAGGGCCACATTCCCAATCCTGGAATCGCCCCTGGACGTGGCACCTGCTGCCCTCCACTCACACTGAAGCTCGGCAGCTCCTTCAGGAGCATCTCCTTGAGCTCGGCCTTGCTGAGCTTGTACTTGTCCCCCTCCTTCCCGGAGTACTTGTGGAAGGTGGTGACCATCACGGCCAGTGCCTGCTCCAGGGGACTCGCCATGGGGACACCGGGAGACCTGGAGAGACAAACAGCTGAGAGCAAAGTTTGGCTCCCCCCCATGCTGGGGGGCAACAGCGTCTCCCACCCCCAGACCGGTGCCCCATTCCTGGGTACACACTGGGATGCACCGTTCCCTCCCTAATTCCAGCCTCCCGCTTCCAGCCGGGCTGGAAAATCCCCAAAAAGGCCATGTCAGAGGGAAAAAGGGGGGGCCACATCCCCCTCCTGCCCAGACCAGGCGGGGGGGGGGGTGCTCAGGTGCTTTTCCAGCCCTCGGAGGTGAAATCCAGCCTTGGAACTCGGCTCCCCCAGCAGGAACCTCCCTCTCATCCCCGAGGGAAAACCTCTGCCGGGGACCCCGCTGTGGGATGCACCACCGGCAACAGCTGGAGAGCAGCTGGATGGGGAATCGCGGGGAAAATACAACTCACCGAGAGCTCAAAGGGAACAGCGGAGGACGGGAAGGGCGGGAGAGGAGACGGAGCCGTGCCACGGGATTTATAGCCCCGCCTGGGCCACCTCCCTCGGCCCCGGGCGGGGAGGAACCAGCGATCCAGCACCCGCTGGAAAAGGAGGAGAGGAAAGTCCGGGAGCAGCCCTGCCCGCCCCCCTCCCCCCTCAGTTTTCCTGCTCCTGGGGGTTGGTTGGGGTTAGAAAGAACAAAACGTGCCCCTGGGGCTGGGCAGGGACCTCCCGGTCCAGGAGAATCCCTGGGCACAAGGGATGAGCGGCAGGCACCGCATCCCACCTGTGCCAGTGCGGGCAGGTGGGGCCACACGAGACGGTTTTGGCAGCATCCCGAGGGATTCTGGAGCCCAGCGGGGTCTGTCCATGGGGGGGAGGGGTTGTGCTGAGGGTTTTTCTGTCTGTTTTTGACTCTCCTGGCAGCGATTTTGTTTCCTGGCTCCGAGGGCAGCATCACAACGCCCCGTTGTGTAACCCGGCGCTATTTCGGTGCCTGCGTGGCCCAGGCACGTGTCAGGAGCTGTGGAGAACACCAGGAACCGGCAGTTTCCAACCCCCCAGACATGGGCTGAGGGCTGACAAAGCCACCGAGTGCCCCCCCAGCCCCCTCAGAGAGGACCTGCTGCTGTGGGGAACAGAGAGAGAGAGAAGCAGGGGATGAAGCTCCGGGCTGCTCCAAAGCACAGTGGGATGTGAAAGCTCCCCAGACACCCCCTGACATCTCCCCAGGTCGGGGATTTCTTTACATTTTGGCAGGAGAAACCCCCAGCCTGAACCTCCTCCCCTCGTTAGTGCAAACTGGTGTGAGTTACTGGGAGGGGACAGAAGCTCCTGGGGCTCTTCATAAAGACTCTGGGAAGGGGCAGAGCAAAGTTTGGAGCTGCTGGGCAAGTGCTGGAAGGACCTGGAGGGGCTCAGCGAGGACCTGGTAGGACTCAACAAGGACATGGGGGCCTTGGGGAGAACCTGGAGGGGTTCAAGGAAGGACCTAGAGGGGCTCAGGGAAGACCTGGGCCCTTGGGGACAGGCTCTGCCAGGGGTCTGCTCTGTCGTGGACTGGTGCAGAGGCTTTGTGAGGGCTTTTTAAATCTGGGATGGTTCCTGTGGAAAAGCCAAAGAGCAGCTGCTGCACCTTCTGCAAACCAGCCCAGACCTGCCCGGAGCTGCCTCAGCGATGGGAGGAGGAGGAAGGGGAACCCTGTGGCTCCCGGTCACATCCCAGGAAATTCCTGCCTGTCTGCAGCCCCAGGGCTCCCTGGAGAACTCAGGGGAGTTGGGTTGACCTCCAGTGCAGCCCCCCAGCACAGGCCCACCCCCAGGGGGGCTGAGGGTCTCCTGGAGGAGTCTGGGGACACGCTCTGGGTTTGTGTCTCTCTGTCCAGTTCCTCCACCCCAGTTTCTCTCCCCAAACCCAACGAGGTGCCCAGGGCAGCTCGTGCCCGCCTAAAACCCACGGTGGGCACTCAAACCTCAGCTGTTTCGACCCAAAGTGCACTGAGTCCCTCCCTGAGCCAGCAAGGACAGCTCAGGGGGGGCATCCAAGCAACTCAGACTGTTTTGCTCAGACTCCTCCAGAAAATGCCTTCCGGGGCTGCATCACAGCATGGAAAATCCCAGGGAGCTGGAGGAAGGTATGAATCACCCTCTGCCCGTTACCCAGCAGGCACAGAACCCCTGGAGCACACCCAGAACTGGGGAAAGCTTTTATTGAAAGCCCCTCTGGGCAGGGGTGGGGGGTCACTTCCTGCGGTGCTGCTTGCTGGGGTCGTCCTTGAAGAAGTCGTTGAAGCCCATGGTGATGCAGGCCAGGAAACACACGTACTCCTTGAAATCCACCTCGCTGTCCTTGTTGTGGTCCAGGTCGTTCACCAGCCGCTTGAATTCCGCCTCATCCATTTGTTTCTGGTGGGGCATGAGAGGTTTTGGGGTGTCCCCAACGTGCCCTTCCAGTCCTGCTCCCCTCACCCTGCCTGGAAGGAGGGTTTTCCCTTTGCCTTTGGAAGGAGGTGGCCTGGAAAGCTGCACCTGTGACAGGGCAGTGCTGGAGCAGCTGCACCAAATGTGCCTCTGGGACGTGGAAAAGCTGGGCTAAAAAACTTCTCCTCCCTCTTCCCAATTTAAACCACAAGGTTTTAAAGAAGAGGAAGTTGGGGGTTAAAAAAAAATTATTATAAAATGGAAATCAGAGCGTGATTTCCTTTGCCAAACTAAATATTTCTGGGGGCATAAAAAAAGCCAAATTTCCTTTTGGGCTGAGGCTGCTCTGGCTCAGCTCCTCCTGCTCTCATCCCTCCTCCTCCTCCCCAGGGCTCTCCCCGGAGCACGAGGCTCCTCTGGGCTGCATCCACCATTCTAACACCTCCCACCCTCCCCTGAGCACCTCCAAAGGCCACCCAGGGATGTCCCTCATGGCCACTTACGCTCCCGAAGATGGGCAGCTCCTTGTTCAGCAGGTCCTTGAGCTCGGCCTTGCTGAGCTTGAACTTGTCCCCCTCCTTCCCCGAGTACTTGTGGAAGGTGGTGACCATCACAGCCAGTGCCTGCTCCAGGGGACACGCCATGGCCAGCCTGGGGGGCACAGTAGGATGGGGGCTCAGGGTCTGTTACCCCCCACCCTGCCCAGGCCGTTCTCTTGCAGCCCCCGCAGCCCTCAGGGAGGGTTTGGGGTGTGGGGAGGAAGAGGAGCAGAGACTCACCTGGTCAGCAGCCCTGAGGACACACAGGATGCTGCAGCCAGGGCAGGATGGGCATTTATAGCCCCGTGGGGGTGGCACTGCCTGCCCCCGTGCCCCCCCAGGCTTTCCCAGCAGCTCCACCAGCGTGGTTTCGCCCGCGCCCCATTTTTGCCTAACGAGCTGTGTGATCCCATTAGAGGGGGGGATATTTGGGTGCTGGTGGGGTCACCAGCCCATGTGCCCCCTAAACCATCACTGCACTGTCCCTCACACCCCCAGCACGGGTGGTCCTGAGCGATCCCTTCCTGGTGACCCCAATCCAAGGGAATATTTGGGGCAGGGGGGTGACAACGGATTTATCTGAGCCGTGAGCTGGGGTTTGGTGCTGCCTAGTGGGTTCCTGAGCTTTAGCACCTGCTTAGCACCAGGCACAGGGTCAGGATTTGTGCTCCCCCAGGAGAGCCACATCCTCCTTCCAGTTCATCACCTTGTCCTTGTTGTTCTCCAGGTCCTTCAGGAGCACCCAGAAGCTGAGTTCATCCCCTTGTCCTTGGCACAGAGGGTCACTGAGGTCAAGGACCACGGCACAGGGGGGCATCAGTCACGCCAGGGGGGTTTGTGTGGTGTCCCACCCTTAAGGAGGAGGGATCACCCAAGATTCTCTGGGATTCCATAGCTGGGCACATGGGGGGACCTGTTTTAGGGAGCAGCAAGACCTTCCCTGACCCCTACACCCTCCCAGGGGTGGGAGGGGACACAAGAAAGGGGAATATTCTGAAATGTTCCCGTTTGCTGCACCTAGAAATGAGGTGTTGGGGTTTGGCTGCCCCCACGCTGAGGGTCTGTTCCGGAGGGACCCCGAGGATCGAGGCTGGATCACTGGGATTCCGTGGGAGCGGTGGGAGCGGGGCCCAGCCCAGCCCCACAAACCGCGGGGTGAGTCACGGCCCGGCCCTCGCCCCACGGGGATTCCTCGGCCGTGACTCAGCCGCGGCCCCGCCTCGCTCCCACGGCGAGAATCCCGGTTTTCCGGGGACCCCCGGAGCTGCGGGGCCGGGCAGAGGGGGCTCCGTGGGCAGGGGGGACAGGCAGGGGACAGAGATGCTCCTGCAGCGGAACAAGAGCAACGAGGGGTTGCCTGGGAGGGGATGGGGGCCGCGGTTTCACGGTGCCGTCACCCCCCTGCCGTGCGAGTGGGGCTCGTGGGGGGCAACCGCCACGCTCGTAGGTCCACGCCCAAGTCCCTTCCCAGTGGAAAATCCCCGGAAGAGCCGGAGCGGCTCGGGCTCCCTGCCCGCACCGTGGGCGTTGCGGAGCACGACGAGCCCAACCCTGCTGAGCACGGGGGTCCCTGGGGGTCTTTGGGGGTCTCTGGAGGTCTCGGCACAGCTTTGCCCCGTCCCCATCGCGGGTGGGGGGTCTGCAATGTGCCGGGATGCAGGACAGGAACGGGGGGTCCCCCGAGACCCCCCCCCCCGGGTCGGGGCAGCCGCGGAGCCGCTGGAATATGGGGCTGTAATTCCGGGCTGCCGGGGACCCCCTTGGGGACACAGAGGGGGTCCCCCAGGAGAACTGTGGCAGCGGCCGCCACCCCTGTCCTCAGGCAGAGGGTTGGGCTGGGGTGTGGTGGGCGCTGGGAGTGCGCGGTGTCTGCTGACACCTCGTGGTGCTCCGTCAGCCCCGCGGTGAGCGGGACGGGCGTTGTCACCAGGGTGTGACTGTGCGGGCGGTGGGGGACAGGGCAGACCCGCTCCCTGGGCCCCCCCGCCCCCTCGGAGCACAGGGAAGGCAGACCCTCAGCGTCACCCTCTGCTCCTCCGGATTTTATTGCCGCAATAAATAACCACGGGGGTGTCACCCGAGGGGGCCGCGCCGAGCCCCGAGCGCCGGCCGGAGCACTCCCTCCACCAGCCCGGGCACGGGGAAAGGCCCCCTTTGCCCAGGAAGACCCCCTCGCTCTGAGGGGGAGCTGTAAGGGAAGAGGGGGGTCCCGGCTGTGACGGGGGTTCTGCCAGCGGAGCTCTGAGAACAGGCAGAACTCAGGTCCCACATGAGAGGAAACCTCTCCCTTTGCTTCTCTCCTGACAGGGCTCGTGGAAGGGGAGGAGGGCAGGGCAGGTACGGCGAGGAGGAGCCTCGCGTCCCCAAATCCCACCCACAGGGTCGTCCCGCCTCCGTCACAGCCCGGCACGGCTCGGTCGGCAGAGCCCTGGGGAGCCGAGGTGGCCCGGGGCGAGCTGGGGCTCGGGGAGGGCACAAAGCGGGGGGGTCGTGGAGAAGCAGGGGGGTCCAGGAGGGTCCTGTGCAGCGGCTACTTGGTGAATTTGATGCTCTGCTCCTGCTGGCGGATGATCTGGGCGATGGGGCTGGCGATGCCGCCTATCAAGGTCCAGTACTCGTCGAAGCTGATGCGCCCGTCCTTGTTCTCGTCCAGGTCGCAGATGAGCTTGTCGGCTGCGCGGCGGTTCCCGGTGTCCTGGGGGGGGAGTAGAGCCGCTCACACCGGGGTGCGGGGCAGGGGGACCCCCTGGGAGCGGCAGGGGCAGGACCCCCCGGCCCCGCCCACCCCACACTCACCGTCAGCATGTGGTTGAGCTCCCGGCTCAGCATCTTGCGGAAATCCTTCTTGCTGATGCGCCGCGGCTTCTTGCAGCAGCAGCAGCGGCTCGAGTACTTGTCAAAGTTGTTCACCAGCACCTGGACGGCCCATTCCAGCTCCGTGCACTGTGACATCGCTGCCTGAGGGGGCAGGGGCAGGGACGGTGCTGAGGGACCCCCCCATGGCAGCCCAAAGCTCAGGGCTGAGCGGGGGGGTCAGCACGAGCCTCCCAGCAGGTGAAACCAGCCTGGGACCAGCCATGGATTCAGCCTGGAATCAGGCATGGGCTCAGTCTGGGACCAACCATGGATTCAACCTGGAATCAGCCATGGGTTCAGCCTGGAATCAGATATAGATTCAGCCTGGAACCAGCCATGGACTCAGCCTGGAATCCATGGGAAGCCTGGAACCAGTCATGGATTCAGCCTGGAATCAGCCATGGATTTGACCTGGAACCGGCCATGGACTCGGCCTGGAATCAGCCATGAAAAGCCTGGAATCCATGGGAAGGCAAATAGGTGGTGGTGCCTGGGTGCTTATCTCCCCACATGGTCCAGGATCACCCCAAAACCCCTGGGTGCCCCCTGTGCCCGCCCCGCCCGCCCACCAGCAGCCGCCCCGCGCGTGTGGGCCGGGTGGTAATTATGGCCCCAGGGCTGCAGGGCTGAGCAGGGCCCGGCCGCCCTTCCCAGGGCTCATTAGGCAGGAATGGGGCCGGGAGCTGTGGCGGGACAGGGGCAGGAATTACCAGCCAACCCTCCTCTTGCTTCACAGCTCCGGGAACAGCCTGGCAGGGCAGGGCCGGGCCCGCCCGAGCCCCCCACAAGCAGAGCCCAGGCTGCCCCCCCAAATCCCGGGGGTCCAATCCTGCCTGATCCCTGCCCGGGGTCTCCATCCTCTCTCCTCCGTCCCGAGGCTACCCCAAGCCAGGAAGCTCCGACAGGATGGGCCCGACAGGATGGTCCCTGTCACGGGGTCCGGCGGCCACATCCCAGGAAGGCAGGGACGGGAACTGCGTCACCTTGTCTGCTCTGGGCTCTTTCCTGCCTGGTCAGTGGCCAGGACTTGGAGTGTGTTGCTCCCTGTTGTTCCAGGTGGATTTACACCAGCCCTGGGTTCCAGCACTGACCATCGTGGCACCGGTGGCCACATGGGTGTTGGAGGAAGCCAACGGGGTGGGCTGTGTGGAGCCCCAAGGGGTGGCCCAGCACTGTCCCCCTCTCTGGGGACACCTCCAGAGGGTGTTTGCAGCCCAGGGAACAGGCAGGACCTGCCCCGTGCCCCAGCCTTGGCTCCTGTCCCTCCCTTTACCCTGATCCTCCCCAGTTCAGCCCCAGGCCGAGGACGGCGGCACGTCAGGGTGGTGACACGAGACATGAGGCTCAGCCCCAGGCTCGTCCTTGTCCCCAGGTGTCCTCCCAGGCCATCCCTGTCCCTGTGGGAGCCCCTGCTGTGCCACACTGCCATGGCCCAGGGTCACTCTGTCATTCCAGGACCAGGGACCGTCCCCAGCTCTCGGCACTCTGGCCTTGGAACTGTCCCAGCACTGGCAGGGCCACGAGAGCCTCTCACCAGAGATTCCGGCTCCTCCCAGGTCATTCATCACCAACAGAGGGGATCCAGCAGCACCCGGGCAGGAGCACCCCCTGCACTCCCACCCCTGCACCCACTAAGGACCCCAATTTGGTGTCACCAGTCCCCTGCCACCAGCACCCAGCCCGTCCTCGGGGCATCGTGGTGGCTGCTCCGCCGCTGACTCATGGCACCGGCCCGGCAACCGCGGAGAGCCCCGGGGCCAGCTGGGGGCACGGGGACACCGTGACTGGGGCGGGGCACAGGGACACTGGCACAGCAGGGGGACACAGGGACACTGGTACCATGGTGGGACATAGGGGCACTGGCAGTGGGGTGACACACAAGGACACTGGCACCACAGTGGGACAGGGGGACGCTGGCAGCAGGGTGGGACACAGGAGCACTGGCACCACAGTGGGGCACTGGGGTGGGATACGGGGACTGGGATGGGACTCTGATGCCGCAGTGGGACATGGAGACACTGTCACCACAGTGGGACATGGGAACACTGTCCCTGGGGTGTGACACGGGGACACTGGCACAGCTGGGCACCACATGAGCAGGATGGGCAGGATGGGACTTGCCGGTTGCTCCACTCCCACCACCACGGTCCCATCGCTTCTCCCTCTCCTTTCCCCTCTCCTTCTCCCTTCCCTCTCCTTCTTTCCCTTTCCTTCTCTCCCTCTCCCTCCTCACACAGTCACATCTGCCCAGAGCCAGGACCCACAGCTGGACACAACCCCAGCACTCCCTGTCCCCCTGCCCAGCATCACAACAGGAAAATCCCCCTTTTCCAGAAGCCAGACCCCACTGGCAGCCCCAGGTCAGGCTCTCCAGAGACAATGGAGGCCGACAGATGC